CTTTCTGCTATGTGCATCCAGACAGTACTGCTGCCCAGCAGACCCCAGGCCTCACCTCACCTTTGTTCTATGTGCAGCCAGACAGCACTCTTGCACGGCAGCCATCAGTCCTCACTTTACCTTTCTACTATGTGCATCCAGATAGCACTCCTGCTCAGTAGACCCGAGTCCTCACCTCACCTTTCTGCTATGTGCATCAAGACAGCACTCCTGTCCAGCAGACCCCAGTTCTCACTTCGACTTTCTGCTATTGTACATCCAGACAGCACTCCTCTCCTAGAAGTTTCAAGTCCTCAACCTGTCCTGTCTGATATGTGCATCTATCTAGACAGCACTCCTCTCCCAGTCCAGGGGAGGACTCAGGTGCTCTAGCAGAGGAGTGCTGTCAGGATGCATACTCGCAGTAAGGCAAGGTGAGTACTGGTGTCCTCTAGGCAGTAGTGCTGTCTGGATGCACCTACCAGAAAGGAGAGGGGAGGACTGGGGTCATCTCGGAGAGGAGTGCTGTCTGGATGCCCACTAGCAGAAAGGAGTTGTGACAACTCGGGTATGATGGGAAGGAGTGTTGTCCAGATGAACACTAGCATAAAGGGGAATTGAGGACTTGGGTGCTCAGCAAGAAGAATGCTCTCTTGCACACAAGCATGAGGGGGAGGACAAAGTAAGCCAATGCACACATGTTGTCAGTATGAGGAGTTTGCCACTGAGTCTATCTGGCAGTATCTCACTGGGAAGACAAAGAAATTTCTTGTCTTCAGTGAGGCCATAGAGCTACCCCTTTCTACTACATGCATCCAGACAGCACTCCGGCCCAGCAGACCCCAGTCCTCACCTAGCCTTTCTGCTATGTGCATCTAGACAGCACTCCTGCCCAGAGGATGGCAGTCCTCACTTCCCCATTCTGCTGTGTGCATCCAGAGAGCACTCCTGCCCAGTGTGCCCCAGTCCTCACCTAGCAATTCTTCTATGGGCATCCAGACAACACTCTTGTCCAGCGGACGCCAGTCTTCAACTCGTCTTTCTGCTATGTGCATCCAAACAGCACTCCCGTCCAGCGGACGACAGTCCTCACCTTGCCTTTCTTCTATGTGTATCCAGTGAGAACTCCTGCCCAGCAGACCCCAGTCCTCACCTTGCCTTTGTTCTATGTGCAGTCAGACAGTACTCTTGAATGGTGGCCACCAGTCCTCACTTCACTTTTCTTCTATGTGCATCCAAAGAGCATTCCCGTCCAGTGGACACCAGTACTCACCCAGCCTTTCTGGTATGTGTATCTAGACAGCACTCCTGGCCAGCAGACCCGAGTCCTCACCTCGCCTTTCTGCTATGTGCATCCTGACAGCACCCCTACCTGGTGGACCCCAGTCCTCATTTCACCTTTCTGCTAGTGTACATCCAGACAGCACTCCTCTCCTAGAAATTTAGAGTCCTCACCTGTCCTGTCTGGTATGCATATCTAGACAGCACTCCTCTCGCAGTCCAGGGGAGGACTTGGGTGAGATGAGTACTGTCAGGATGCACACTTGTAGTAAGGTGAGGTGAGGACTGGTGTGCCCTGGACAGGAGTGCTGTCTGGATGCACCTAGCAGAAAGGAGAGGTGAGGACTGAGGTCCTCTTGGACAGGAGTGCTGTCTGGATGCACATAGCAGAAAGAAAAGATGAGGACTGGGGTCCTCTCGGAGAGGAGTGCTGTCTGGATGCACACTAGCAGAAAGGAGTCGTGATGACTCAGGTGTGATGGGAAGGAGTGTTGTCTGGATGCACACTAGCGTAAAAGGGAGGTGAGGACTTGGATACTCTGCGAGAAGAATCCTCTCTTGCACCCTAACAGAAGGGAGAGGGGAGGACAAAGTAAGTCAATGCACACATGTTGTCAGTGAGATGAGAGTTTGCCACTGAGTCTATCTGGCAGTATCTCACTTGGAAGACAAAGCAGTTTTGTGTCTTCAGTGAGGCCATTTAGAGCTAGCCTTTCTACTATGTGCATCCAGACAGCACTCCTGCCCAACAGACCCCAGTCCTCACCTAGCCTTTCTGCTATGTGTATCCAGACTTCACTGCTACCCAAAAGACACCAGTCCTCACCTTGTTCTATGTGCAGCAAGACAGCACTCTTGCATGGCAGCCACCAGTCTTCACCTCGCCTTTCTTCTATGTACATCCAAACAGCATTTTTGTCTAGTGGATGCCAGTCGTCACCTAGCCTTTCTGCTATGTGCATCCAGACAGCACTCCTGCCCAGTGGACCCCAGTCCTCACTTCGCATTTCTGCTTGTGTACATCCAGACAGCGCTTCTCTCCTAGAATTTTAGAGTCCTCACCTGTCCTATCTGATATGTGCATCTAGACAGCACTCTTCTCCCAGTCCAGGAGAGAAATTGGATACTGTAGCAGAGAAGTGCTGTTAGGATCCACACTAGCAGTAAGGTGAGGTGAGGACTGGTGTCTGCTGGGCACAAGTGCTGTCTGAATGCACCTGGCAGAAAGGATACGTGAGGACTGAGGCCCTCTCGGAGAGGAGTGCTGTCTCGATGTACACTAGGCACTGTAAGGACTGAGGTCCGCTGGGCAGGAGTGCTGTCTGGATGGACAGCAGAAAGACGAGGTGAGGACTGGCGTCTGCTGGGCAGGAGTGCTGTTTGGATGCATACTAGCAGAAAGGAGTCATTATGACTTGGGTGCAATCAGAAGGAGTGTTGTCTGGATGCATGCTACCATAAAGGAGAGTGGAGGACTCAGGTAGTCTGTGAGAGGAATGCTCTCTTGCACCCTAGTAGAAGAGAGAAGGAAGGACAAAGTAAGCCAATGCACACATATTGTCAGTCACATGAACAGTTTGCCACTGAGAATACCTGGCAGTATCTTGCTGGGAAGATAGAGCAGTTTCTTGTCTTCAGTGAGGCCATTTAGAGCTAGCCTTTCTGCTCTGTGCATCCAGACAGCACTCCTGCCCAGCAGGTGCCAGTTCTCACTTTGACATTCTCCTATATGCATTCAGACAGCACTCCTACCCAGT